CTAAAGCTTAAAAAACATTTAAAAAACATAATATTTTCTGCAAGAAGTGGATGCTGAGTCCTGAAAGAACAGAAGTTCAAATCCGAACACAAGAAAAACCATAAAAATAGTAAAAAAAACAAGCATAAAAACAAAAACGGCATTCTGATTTGAAACAAATGTTTTGACATTTAAACAGCAGAGTTGGTTAAAAAACAAAAAAACAGGACAACTGTGCAAACGCTGACTCAGCATTTACAGAACAAAACTAGGCTGAGTCACCAGAGGATAATCACAGAGTGGAAAGACACATTTTGTGACTTTCTAAAAAAAAAAGAGAAAAAAAATCAGTTTTCCGAACATATTTTAGCTGACAGAATAAACCACAACCTCTGGACTCGACAAACATTTTTATTTTAAATTTTTATGTTAAACGACTTGTCAAACCCAGTCTGCTCGGCCACAGCCTGCTGAGTTTTGTTCAGTGAAAAACAGAGGCAGTATTTGCACATTGTCACTTCTGATGACAGGCAGATAGCATCAGCTTTACTAAAGTGATTCTCTCGTTGTGTAAGGAAACCAACAGAGCTGATGAGACTCGATTAGAGCACAACCTGCCCTACTTTACATGTGATCAACTGATTACGTTGTCATTTTTAAAGCTGAGCCTAATATTCAGAGACACCACTGAGTGGCAGTCAGCAACTTTACACACATATTAGTGATTTATTTCAGAGATCTTGAAATCTATTATGCAAAATTCACTTTTTTTTTTACGTTTTTATGCTTCAGTTCGGGTCTGTGCTGCCTCCAGAAACAGTCCAAAAAATATTCCCAGCTGCTTTTTTTTAACAGTAAGTAAATGTTTTCTTACAGTCAGCAAATGATTCAAAAACCTGAGGATTGTGACGTCACAAACCGGGTAACCTCGCACTGACCAAGGCGAGCCCAGCCCCTCACCTGGTAACCCAAGCGGAGGCTCCGCCCACTTCTTGACAAGATGACCTCGTTAGTTCTGCTGTGTTTACAACAGTCACGGAGAACAGTGATGCGTGGCTTAATTTTATTTTTGATGTCAGTTTTAGCGATATTGTCAAAGGAAGTTGTAGTTTGTGCAAATAATTTCACGATGCACTTCTTTGAAAACTACCAGAGTTTTATAGTAACTAAGTACATTTAGTTTTTTACAGTATTTAAGTAGTTTTTTTTTTAGGATTTGTAATTTTGCTAACTATTTTTTAAATAGCTACTTTTACTTTTATTTTGTTACATTTTAAAGCTAAAAATAATACTTTTACTTCTTTACTTTAAAATGTAACACCTACTTACTGTTTACAAATTAAATATGTTCGAACTCATCATGAAAGATGTTTCTGCTCTAAAAAAATGAAGTGTTGAATTTACTCAACAAAATCATGTCAGCTGGCTCCACTAAGCTTAGTTGAGTAAATTAAGTAAATAATACATATATTGCTCAATTTACTCAACCTGGTTTAGTGGAACCAGTTTGGTTCAGTAAATTCAAAAGTTTATTTCTTAGAGAGTGTGTAAAACTACTTTTACTTTTCCAATTTTTGTGAACAGTTTTATGACTATACTTAAGTTTTCTCATCGGTGAAATTCATTTTTACCAAAGTCATTTTCTGTTCATGATACAGATAAAGAGGATCTATTATGGTTTCTTGAACAAGTTAGGTCACGTCTGTGGGCTATACAAAACATGTTCATCCTAACTTGTTCAAAAAACCATAATAGACCCTCTTTAACAATCCAGTTCTTACTGAATTAGAGGCTGGCTCAGTCCACAAATAGACACGAGTAAAAACATTATCACTCTGCCTTCACCTTTCAGCAGCAGCTAATTATCAGTGTGCACTGCCAATGCAATGCACACTATTGTGATTCGTTCCCCATCCAAGTCATCTCCACTTTGTCACGCTTCTCCTCCTGCGTACTTTGTCCTAGAGCTGCCATTGTAATTTATATCTGTAAAGCTCCTGTGCCAAATGATGGCTATGCCTTTTGGTACCTGTACAACTCACAGTTTTTGAAACATTAATGTTTAATAGTTTACAATGGGAGTCAATGGAGCCTTGTATTGGTCCAATACTGCCCCCTGCTGTACCTACTCAGTACTGCACCACAGTTTAATAATATTTAAACTCAGTAGTTCAGTGTTTACAATACTAATATGTAAATATTTTCATGTTGTACTATAATATTTTCCTAATATTGCTTTATTCTTATAATATATTGCAGTTTAGTGTCAACAATTGTATTGGCGATATGGCCACTTTCTGCACACATACAAACCAACTCCTGGCAATCCACTCTGCCACAGCTCCAATGGTCTCATGGTTAATGCCATGGGCTTTCATGTGGGAGATCAGAGTTCAAAACCCAGCTACATTAACAAAAAATTCTTTTTAAACTTCATATTGTCACACAATTACCCTTATTACAAACGCTGACTTGACAAGCACAAGCTGGTATAGAAAACACATTTGGACTTGGTCACCGTTCATTCTGCAAGTGCACTGCTGCAGGTAAAACCATGCTGCAATGCACACTTGTTTTTACATAGTAAAAACCCATGTCTAGTTAAATATAAATGTATGTTCCATATTCCTCTTAATGTCCTTCCACATACAAAGAAAGAAAACATCAGGTTTTGTGCAAGTGAACATGAATCAATGTTGTTTTGTTTTGTGCAAGTTTCACTAGAGGCCATAAGACTCAGTTATTTTGTCAGGAAGTCCTTTGAATTATTACCCTGAAAGTCTGAATGAAGGATCAGAAAACACTGACACCGAGGCATAAATGAAATAAAAAATGTGTCACATCTGTTACTATAAATTGAGGCAGCAGAAGTTTACAAACGACTGTATGAAGAGCTGAGCAAATGTTTGTATCTGTGTCCTGTGACTTATGACTTCACGCAGATTAAAGCTGCTAATTTATCAAATTAGATACAGCAGGACCTTCAAATTAGCATAACTTGGAAAGATTTAATTTCCTCTGTTTATAATCACAGACACTGTTATCACAAGTAATTACGTTCCATATTCAGTCTCATTTTGTGACGACCCACCCCCACCC